TTCTCCTAATTCTAGGTTGCTGTTGTCACCAGGGTGCAGCAGAAGGCAGCAGCTGTGCCAGAGCGTGCTTAGCCAGATTAGACCTCATTTGGCCTGCCTTGGCACCCAGGGGGCAGGAGACTGGCAGCAGCTGGATCAGTCCTAGTTTGGCTTCACCAGAGTGACAGGGGGGCAGGGGAACTGCAGCAGTGGTGCGGGGCACTCGCACAGCCGGATCAGTCCTTGTTCGGCCCTGCTGGGGTTACCAAGGGGCAGGTGAACGACAGTGGCTCAGCAAAGTTGTTGTGGGTTCTTCAATCTTCTCTTGGCTCAGCTCCAAACTATCAGCTTACTTGCCAGACTTCTGTCCTTTAGTCTTCTTCTGGATGGGAGCCTCTCTGGGAAGCTGGCTGCAGTTCACCATCTTGGCTCCACCCCCCAACAGTCCCAATTTTTAACAATTTGTCCCATGTCCCAGGGCGTTTTAAAAAAGTCCCGATTTTTTGAAAGAATGCACGAACAGGTGGGAGAACAGTAAGGGAATATATGCTTTTCGGCTGCCATGTGGCTATTTCACCAGGATATGAGTTTTATATTATTTTTGTTAATTTTATAATGTTAAACTGTAATAACAAATAATTGTTCAGAAGTGATTATTGAGAACTGCTTATCAAAGTTTACATTATTGTCAGGCCCTGCCCCCGCCCATGCCCCACCCCCCATCACTTGTGTCCCACTTTACCAATGTTAAAATCTGGTCACCTTAGATAAAACCCCACCTAATGGATACAAAGGGCAGTATTCAAGTAATGGACATTTTAATAGCCCTGAGTTAAGCCTTGTAACAAAAACATTTGTATTTCCTTAATATTTTGAAATTTAAAAAGAGAAAAATTAAGAAAGTCATCAAGTCAATAATTGAAACCTCTATTCCAAATAAATTAGGGAAAGAAGAGCTAAATACATTCAGAGCAAGCATAAGTAAGTATGTATAAAAATAAGAGAAGAAATGATGGAAAATTCAAACAAAAAATCAATAGAGGAATGTTATTGTATGCACCCCAAACCTAATTGTTTGGAAAATGATCAGAATTGATAAACATCTAGCCAGGGTACATATGAAATAAAGAGAGAAGACATGTTAATACCTAATATCAAGACAGATCAGATATTACTACAGATCTCACATATTAAAAGCCACTCTATGATCATAATTTGACACTTTAGATGAAATAGAACAATTCCTAGAAAGACAAAACTATGAAAACTCAAGTAGAAATAAAGACTGGAGAGACCTATTTCAATTAAAGAAATTTAAAACCTTTCAAAAAAGAAAACTGTAAGGCTGTGTAATTTCACTGGTGAATTCTGCCAAACATTTAAAGAAAGAAATAGCTTCAAGTATATGCATTCTCTTTCAGAAAGTAGAGGAGAAGGGAGAATTCCTCAACTTTTTTCATAGGGCCATCATTATCTTGATACCAAAACTAGAGGAGAAAAAAAAGTATGAGAAATCAGTATCCCTCATGAACACAGATATAAAAATCCTCAATAAAAGTTCCATAAATAGAATCTAAGAATATATAAAAATAATAATATACCTTGAACAAGTGAGGTTTATTCCACAAATGTAAGAGTGGCTTAATCTTTGAAAATAAATCAGTGTAACTCACAATATTAGCAGTCTCAAGAAGAAAAACCATGTGCTTGTACCAATTATTGCCCCAAAAGTACTTGACAATATTCAACATTTATTTACTTTACCATAAAAACTCTCAACATACTAGGAAAAGAAAGGAACTGTCTCAGTCTTATAAATAGCATTTATGAAATGCGTATAGCCAAAGTAATGATAAAAGTCTGAATGTTGGCTTGGCATCTATAGTACAGTGGTTTTGGCTCTGGCCACATGCACCTAGGCTGGTGGGTTCAAACGCTGCCCAGGCAGCTAAACAACAATGACAACTGCAACAAAAAAATAGCTAGGCACTGTGGTGGGCGCCTAGTCCCAGCTACTTGGGAGGCTGAGGGAATCACTTAAGCCCAAGAGTTGGAGGTTGCTGTGAGCTATGATGCTCTGGCACTCTACCAAGGGCTACATAGACTCTGTCTCAAAAAAAAAGAAAGAAAAAAGAAAAGACTGAATGTTTTCCCCAAAGATTGAAAACAGAGCAAGGATGCCCATCTTACCACTCCTATACAACTGATTTTGAGAGTTGAGGAGGAGAAATTCATAAGGTGGCTTTCTTCTTACAACTTTGATTAGCATATTTACTGAGCTGAATATATTATCTTGTTCCATTCCTCCTTAACCAAGACCATTAAATGAGTACTTGATGCAAAAAATTGGCGATTCTAATGAACAAAATTTTGCTCAAGCAGTACAAATTACTGACACAGAACACACCATGTTATTTTATTCCTACATATTTTTCACTAAACTCTCACTTCTGACTTTTGTTTTTATATGATTTATATATGTAGCTTTTCTTGTAACTCCACTGAATCTTTAATCTCTCGATAAATCCTTGCTTATTCTTCAGCTCAGCCTTCGCCTATAGAGAGGCCTTCTCTCAAAAACAAAAAGGTTCATTCTCTTCTTTCTTCAATCTTATGGTCTCTTGAACATGTTCTCATAGTAACAAATCACACCAGACAATAATTAATAGTCAACAATAGGGCCTCTTTTTTCCATGAAGTGTCCATATTATTGGCAAGAACATATTGGTTACTCATAGCTGTAGAAACTTGTTCCTGATAATAGTTTCCAAAACTAATCAACAGTAGACTTGCATATGAGTACAGAAAATTGGTAGGAAGGCTCTAACTCTTAAAAATTAAGATTATACCCTGAGGGTGGTGCCTGTGGCTCAATGGGAGGGCACCTGCCCCATATACCGAGGGTGGTGGGTTCAAACCCAGCCCCAGCCAAATTGCAACAGAAAATAGCCAGGCATTGTAGTGGGTGCCTATAGTCCCAGCTACTCGGGAGGCTGAGGCAGGAGAATATCCTAAGCCCAGGAGTTGGAAGTTGCTGTGAGCTCTGTGATGCCACCACGGCACTCTACCAAGGGCAATAAAGTGCCCCCCACCAAAAAAGGACTATGCCCTGAGGTCACATTTTCTAAAGCCTCTCAGTTTAAACCAGATATCTAAAGAGTATCCACCTCTGTGATCCTTGTCTTGAAAATATAGGCCCTAGTGTCAAGCAAGGTAATCCAGGAATATGAGGAGGAAGATATAAAAAATGAAAGGAAGAAAGCTCTGGAATTGCATCAAACATTAGAGAATACCCCAGTGCTGCTTAAAGAACTCATAAAGGTAAAGTTGTTTAGTTACTAGTATTGCCCTGGGCTTTAACTCACTTTTCTTGCCAAAAATTTATTGGTGATACTACTAATACAGTGGTATTCTCTATAAGGTCTATCTACATTTGGTTTTTAAAAAAACCTGAAGGCTAAAAGAGGAAAAGGTCTGGTCCAACTGTTAACTGATAGCAATTCATAGGGACCGAGGTTGTAGTTGTGGTTGATCTATAATCAGTGCTTCAGCACATTGTGGGTTTTTTTTTTTTTCATTTTTCTCAGATTTATTTTAAGTGTCCAGTTGTAAAAGCTGTAAGAAATATCTCCCTTGTGGTCAATAATTCAGAGTGCTTTGGATTACTTGGATTAAATGGAGCCGGAAAAACGACTACATTAAAAATGTTGGCTGGAGAGGAGACCATCACCTCTGGAGTTGTGTTAATTAACGGCATCAGTGTCACTGAAAATATCAGAAAGGTATTTTTCATCCTAGTCACTGAGTTGGTGCTTTGAGAGGGGAGGTAACCAGGCAAGTAGACGGAGGACAAGGAAGGGAAGCTGAGGGCATTGAGGTATAAATATTCTTTTCTCAAAAATAACGAACTCCAGGAAGAATGATGCACATGATGGCATACTGTGTTTGGGAAATGGCAAACATTCTTTATGGATGAAGCAAAGAATGAGTATCTGTATGTAAGTCAAACAAAAACAGGAAGAGCAGTAATTGCATTAACATGCTGTGACATAATTAGAGATTAATATAAAGCAACCATTACAAAAATCAGTTGTGGAAGATAGTAAGAAAATGGAATTGATAAGATTTAGTTTTCATTTGGAGACAGGTTATTAAAAAAAAAAAGCCCAAGATATTGCTCAGATTATCTATCTTAAGCTAGTGAATGAGTGAAAGATCCATTCACCAAGATAGTACAGATGAGTGTATTTGGAAGAGCATATTTTGAGCTTAAGGTGTCTGTTGCATATCCAAACAGGAGAATAGCCAATAGACAGTTGGAACCCATGGTAGTGAATTGATATAGAGATATAAATTTGAGATATATCAAAGTACACATAAAATTTGTGTGAAAGCAGATGAAATAATGGATGAGGAATGTGTATAAGAAGAAGAAAGACCTGGGCTGAATCCTGAGGATTATTGACATTTCTAAGCTATGGACAGGAAAAATAACGAGAGAGAAAATTAGAAAGCATTAATGAGTTAAGAGGAAAATGTAGGTAAAGTTTATCACACAAGCCAAGTGAGCAGTAATTGTCAAGAAGTAATCCTAGCATTCTGGGAGGCCAGGGTGGATGGATTGCTTGAGCTCAAGAGTTCCAGACCAGCCTGAGAAAGAGCAAGACCCCCATCTCTACTAAAACTAGAAAAATTAACCAGGTGTTGTGATGGGTGTCTGTAGTACCAGCTACTTAGGAGGCTCAGATAAGAGGATCTCTTGAGCCCAAGAGTTTGAGGTTTGCTATGAGCAATGACCCATGGCACTCTACCCAGGGCAACAAAGTGAGACTTTCTCTCAAAAAAAAAAAAAAGGAAATGAAATAGAGATCTCATGCATTAAAAAGTGTCCACTAGATTTCACTAAAGCCTGGACTGTCCACTAGATGAGGAAATAATGAGCATGCATTTCCTTTGAAGGAAGACAGGTATGAAACAAAGGAGGGATAAAATTATACCTGGTGTTTAAGTAGATGACAAGGATAGGCTTGTAATTTTCAGCAACTAGAGCATATTTGCATAGTGGAAAATGCAGTAGGTGTGCAAAAAATATTAACAGGAGATATCCAAAAAAAGAAGGTATTCATTCACATGGAACTTAAATAAAAACAATATTAAAAGGCATTCAAGTAACCTAATTTTGCCTCATTTCTTCTTATGCCCACTTCTTTCACTGTCTATGGGGAAGATTATATATACATGCAGATGTATGATAAAATGCTCAATATCACTGACCATCAGAAAAATGAAAATTAAAACTACAAAGCTTTACCACTCCATAGCTTTTTATGTATATAAAACCAAATATAAAGATCTATTTTCCATTTTATTAAACAAAAGGTAGTATACTATATACAATCTTTTTCACCTTACCAAATTGCTTTTTATGTGGTTTTATGAATTTGCACTATACTTAGTAATGTTTGAGAGTGTGTGTTTCTCTATACTGTTGGCAAAAGACTGCTTGATCTGTTGGATTTTTGGATTTTTACTAGCCTGGTAGTGTTTTAAAATATATATTTTATTTTTTAATTGACATATGTATATATTTGTGAGGTACATAATGGTGTTTTGATATATAATGTATAGTGATCAGATCAAGGTAATCAGCATATCCATCATATCAAATATTTATAACTTCTTTCTGTTGGTAATATTCAATATCCTCCTTCTAGCTATTTGAAATGACAGTAGAAGTTGACCACCCAAGAGATTCTTAACAAACTAGTCAACATACAGAGGTGGTCAGCATAAGGAGCTAGGCCTATTATACTGGTATGTTCATGTGCTGTATGTTTGGTCTGTGAAAATTAGGTTAACTTAAGGTGGTTAATGTAGAAAGGTGGAGGAGGTTCTACTGTATGCGTTATTAACTAGAGGCATCCTAATGTGGTATGGAATGTAGTCTTCCTATCTGGTTGTAATCTTGTAATCTTTAAATCGCCCTTCTCCCCTTCCCAGCCTCTGGTATTGTCTGTTTTAAGAGATCAAAATTTTTTTTAGCTTCAATATGAGTGAGGACATGGAGTATTCATTTGTTTTATTATAGTTTTTTTCTTCCTGTGAACGAAGTTACATAACTTTGTTAGATGATTGAAACTTATTTTCATTTTCATTTCATTTCCTGTGAATAGTCTATTCATATCCTTTATACATTTTTTAATTGTTGACATTTTTCTTTATTACTTTCTTAAAATTCTTCATACATTATTAATTTCTGTAATATGAGTTGCAAATACATTTTGTGTTTGCCTCTTCTTTTCACTCATATTGTTTTTGACCTGCAGATTTGTTTACATAGGTAAATATATCAATCTTCTCATTTATGACCACTTCATTCCAAGTCATTGCTACTGTGAAACTCACTAAACAGAGGTCACTGAAAACATTTCTATAGTGAAATAAAGTTGAGTTTATTTAGTTTGCTGCAGCACAGGAACATGCATACCAGAGGAGAGTCTGGGAAAGAGGACAGGGACTTTTTATAAGATGTGGGCTTGTTTTGATGATTAGAAAGAAGTGAAGATTTGGGAAATGTGTTGATTATTGTGATTTTTAATAAGGAGGCAGACAGGTCACTGGAAAAATCCAATGTTTTCTTGTTGCTATTGTTTGTTTTTGAGACAGAGTCACACTCTGTGCCATAGGTAGAATTCCATGACATCCTAGTTCACAACAACCTCAAACTCCTGGGCTCAAGTGATCCTCTTCCCTCAGCCTCCCAAGTAGCAGGAACTACAGGCACCTGCCACAATGCCTGGCTACTTTTTCTCTTTTTAGTAGAGATGGGGTCTTGCTCTTGCTCAGGCTGGTCTCAAACTCCTGAGCTCAAGCAATCCACCAGCCTTGGCCTCCCAGAATGCTAGGATTACAGGCGTGAGCCACCAAACCTGTCCCCATCACTGGAAAAATAAAAGCAACAGTCAGGGTGGTGCCTGTGGCTCAAAGAGTAGGGTGCCTGCCCCATATGCTGGAGGTGGTAGGTTCAAACCCAGCCCCAGCCAAAAACTGCAAAAAAAAAAAACAAAACAGCAGTCACTGAGTTCAGTCAGAAGAGAGGGTTGTCATTTTTGTGATTGCAGAATGTCCTTTGTTTCAGGCATAGTCATAAAGCGGGCATATCTACCTTGTTCCATTACAATCATTGAGTTGCCTTACCTAATTATTGTTGATAATCTGTGGCAATTATTTATGTTCTGCCTTGGATAGTATATGTTTCTGAGATAGATTCCTTATTAGATAAACCATGTTAAGAAATTAGCTACTTATTTTGAATGGTTATAAATTTTGTCAAGTTTTTTCACTGTCTATGGAGAAGATTATACATACATGCAGATGTATGATAAAATGCTCAACATTATTGACCATCAGGAAAATGCAAATTAAAACTATAATAAGATGTCACCTCATTTAAAATACTGATCCTGTTGGAATGGTTATTATCAAAAAGGCAAAAGATAGGCTCGGTGCCCGTAGTTCAGTGAGTAGGCCACATACACCAAGGCTGGCGGGTTTGAGCCCTGCCTTGGCCTGCTAAACAACAATGACAAGTGAAATCAAAAAATACCTGGGTGTTTTGGCAGGTGCCTATAGTCCCAGCTACTCAGAAGGCTGAGGCAAGAGAATTGCTTGAGCCCAAGAGTTTGAGGTTGCTGTGAGCTGTGATGTCACAGCACTCCACCAAGGGCAACATAGTGAGACTCTATCTCAAAAATAACATGAGCTAGAAAACTTCAGGTTTTCTTCCATGTGATGTGTTTGCTCAGTGGAATAGTTGTTGTGCGTCTAATGCTTATGATTACCCTTTTGATTCAGGTTAGGTCAAGAATTGGCTATTGTCCCCAGTCTGACTCTCTGATGACCTACATGACAGGACGAGAATTGCTGAGCATGTACGCTAGGCTACAGGGAGTCCCTGAGCCAAGTATTCACAACTACGTGGAAGCCTTTTTACATTTAGTATACCTGAAACCCCATGCTGATGAGTTTGTCTACACATACGGGTAAGGCATTATGCTGCTGTAATTATAAGCTACCTACTTGTGTTTCTACTGTTTGGAATGAATGCCTGCAAACTCAACCTAAAACCCCTGTCACACAGAGACAATTACTGTCTCCAATAAGCTAATGTCTTGTCAAGGTTCAGATATCAGGAATGAGGCAGATCCCACTTGTGTGAGGTTAACCTCTTGCAGAAATAGGCCATAGCATTTGCATTTCAAAAATAAAAGTACCTTCATCCCTTTCTTCCTATGGCTTTTGTCTCCCCAAAACAAAAATACATCTTGAATAGTGATGCTGAAAATAATAACCAAAAACAAAGACAATTACAGTGAAAATGAGTTGATGTATACAAAGTCTGCTACTTTGTTAGTCATATCAAGTCAGTATTCTGGAAGGATGAGCTAGTTTTGTTTCATGTATTAATGACATGTATACTCTTAGCTTTTTTTTCTGTCTCCTTTATGACCATAAAGTGGAAAGCGTAAACGTAGACTGAATATAGCTATTGCTCTAATGGGAAACTCTTCAGTTGTCTTCTTGGATGAGCCATCAGCTGGCATGGACCCAGTAGGCAAGCACCTACTCTGGGAAGCAGTTTCATGGATATGTAAAACTGGTAAAGTTATCATCATAGCTTCCCACAGGTATGACCCAATGAGAAGCTTGATTGGAAGTTATAAGGGATTGCAGTGGGTATAGGATGGAATTATTTAGAGCCAGAAATAAGGATCAGTGAATTTATCTAAGAGGGGGAACTATGGGTAAAGGCTTAACCTTCCAAAGGAATTAGCCAACAATCCTCAGTTCTGGAATCTGAAATTAAGAGAAGAGAAGATAGGAAATAAGGGAGCAGTTCCTTTTTTTCTTTTTTTTTTTTTTTTTTTAGACACAGTCTCACTTTGTTGCCCTTGGTAGAGTGCCATGGCATCATAGCTCACAGCAACCTCAAACTCTTGGGTTCAAGAGATTCTCTTGCCTCAGCTTCCCCAGTGGCTGGGACAGCAGGTGTCTGCCACAACATCCGGCTATTTTTAGAGGCAGGGTCTCGTTCTTGCTCAAGGTGGTCTTGAACCTGTGAGCTTAGGCAATCCACCCACGTCAGCCTCACAGAGTACTAGGATTACAGGTGTGAGCCACTACACCTAACCCAGGGAGCTGTTCTTATTGAGGATTTAGGCATCACCTACTTTGAATTTTAAAACAGCCTCTTTTCAAATATGACCTTAGTAGTAATCATCTGTAATAAAGGCTATTTCAAGCCTTATAATCCTGGCTGTGTTGGAAACACAGAATTTACACTCTGAAAGGAAGTCTCTCAGCTGTATCTCCTTTGTTCTTTTAGCATGGAAGAATGTGAGGCCTTCTGTACTAGGCTAGCCATCATGGTGAAGGGGAAGTTCATGTGTCTAGGCAGCCCTCAGGAACTCAAGAACAAGTTTGGTAACATATATACTCTGACAGCAAAGATTAAGATTAATACAGAGGAAGATAAAATAGAGGAATTCAAAGAATTCATCAAAGCTGTTTTCCCAGGTACTATATGTAGGCTTATTTGTGGCAACTGTGATAAGTGCTATTTGTTGTTCTGCTGCAAATCCTCAATTTTTTCAATGAGGCACTAAGTGCCTTTTGAATAATTGAATATCTATGAACTTATCCCTGATTATGCAAAGAAGCTTTCACAAAATAGCATTGGCTCTCACTAATCTCTTGTCTAAGTCAACTAGTAAGATAAAACTGTTCACATGTTCTCATCTAGAAAGAGATAAATTATTGAGAGTCTCTCTTTTTTATCCTTGATCATTCAGATTCCCTTCTTTTTAAGGATGTATTCCCTGCCTTTTCCTGAATTAGACAATGCTTATGAAAAACATACAGAAACAGTAAACTCCCTATCCTCTTTTCAAGGAAATCATCTGGATGTGTAACAATAAAAATCAGTCATTTTGCTAAATGCCCCTCTGTGCACAATGTATGCTAGCAATAGCTCAGTCATTTAAGCAAACAATTATTTCTTTCTCTTCCCCCTATTTACTCTAATATTAAACAGAGATATGTAAAACTTTTTAACAATTTTGACTTGATTGTCTCCACCTTGAATGATCATCCTGTCAATAATGTGATGGTCATAGTGTCAGGGCTCAAGATGAAAATCACAGACGCTATAGCAATGGTGAAGTAGTAAATGGTATTGGCCTATACTAAAGAAGTGACAGCAAGAATGAAAAGGAGATAATGGAGATCATAGATAGATAGATAGATAGATAAAAATGGACAATGCAAGAGGAGAAACCACTATGTGGGAAAGATAATTCAGTATTAATTATAATAATTACAAAGTACCTATGAGATATTCAGATTAATATAGCCATTAAATATTCATTTAATAATATTTATGATATTTATGGAGCACTTACTATATGCCTAAGTTAACCATGCAAAGAATCATATATATTATGAGTAAATCTAATATCTTACTCAACCTAAAAGGGATGGAGGACACCAGGAAAACTGAGAACAGACTGGTCCTGAAGTAGGTGAACACAATAGCCTGGTTATGAAAGTATGGTCTCATACAGTATGTCTAAATGTAAGGTTGCCAATTGACCAACCTTTTCCTATCCTATCCTTATGCAAATTAACTGTTCCAAATGCAGTTTTCCCCATTTAAAGATTGCAGAAAAGAAAGGAAAACAGCATGTGACCTATATGCAAAGATTATCCAGAAAAATAGGAAGGAAAAACATCACACATAAAAGGTAACTTCTGTCTAAGATTAGGAACTGGAAAAAAATATTATATAACTACTTCTCACAGGGTGCAGTGGCTCACACATGTAATCCTAGCACTCTGGGAGGCCAAGGAAAGTGGCTTACTTGAGCTCACGAGTTGGGAACTAGCCTGAGCAAGGGCAAGGCCTCTTCTCTAAAAAATACCTAGGTGTTGATGTGGGCACTGTAATCTCAGCTACTTGGGAGGCTGAGGCAAGAGGATAGCTTGAGCCCAAGTTTGAGGTTGCTATACAGAGCGATAACTCCTGCACTCTACCAGGGACAAGAAAGTGTCTTAAATTTGTCTTAAATAAACAAATACTTCTCCCTAAAGGCAAAGAATTTCAGTGAAAAGACATTATTTTTTCAAGACCACAAAGAGTTCCATTTTCTACAGCATGGCAAGTTGTATTCTCAGAAAGATGAGCCATTTTACAAATTCTATAAGCTTTCATGATAAAAACTCTCAGAAACTAGGAATAGAGAAAAAATTACTCAACATAATAAAGGTCATTTATGAAAACCCACGTCTAATGTCATTAGATGGAAGAAACATCTCCATCTCCTGTGGAGAAAGACTGAAAGATTTCTCCATGAAGATCAGAAATAGGGATACCTGCTTTCACAGATTCTATAACCTGAGAATTTGTTGAATTTATTTATGAATTTCAGAAGTCTTCAGGTGGAGTCTTCAGGGTTTTCTAGATATAAGACCATATCATCAGCAAGCAAGGATACTTTGATCTCTTTCCTGATCTTTTTTCTTTCTATTTCCAGATTGCTTTTGCTAGGTCTTCAAATACATGTTAATTAGAAGAGGTGCCAATGAGCACCCTTGTCTTGCTCCAGTTCTTAGCGGGAATGTTTTCAACTTTTCTCCATTCAGTACGATGTTGACTGTGGTTTTGACATATATGGCTTTTATAATTTTAAGATATGTTCTTTCTATGCCTCGTTTGTTGAGGGTTTTTATCATGAAAGGGTGCTGGATTTTATCAAATGCTTTTTCTCCATCTATTAAGATGATCATATGGCCTTTGTTTTTGTTTCTGTTTATGTGGTTAATCATGTTTATTGATTTGCATATTTTAACAATCTTTGCATCCCTGGGATGAAACCCTCTTCATCCTAATGAATTATCTTTATGTTGTGCTGTTGAATTCAGTTTTCTAGTCTTTTTCTGAGGATTTTTGCATCTATGTTCATAAAAGAAATTGGTATGTAGTTTAACCTTTGTTGTGTCTTTTTTTTGGTTTTGATATTAAGATAATGCAGCTTCATAGAATGACATAGGGAAGATCTGCTCCTCTTGATATAGAATAGTTTCTGTGAGGTAGGTACTGCCTCTTCTTTGTAGGGTCTGATAGAATTTGCCTATGAATCCATCTGGTTCAAGGCTGTATTCTGTTGGGAGATTTTTTTTTTTATTATTGCTTCAATCTCATTGTTCATTATTGGTCTGTCAGTATTTCTGTTTCTTCCTGATTCAGGTTTGGAAGGTTATGTGTTTATAGGAAATTGTCCTTTTCTTCTAGATTTTCTAGCTTGTTTTCATGGAGGTTTTCATAATTTTCACAGATGATATTTTGTATTTCTGCAGTATCAATACCAATGTCTCTTTTTTCATTTCTGGTTGAGCTTATTTGAGTCCTTTCTATTCTGTTTCTTGCAAATAGCTAGTGATCTATTCATTTTGTTTATCTTTTTTTTTTTTTTGAGACAGAGACTTACTATGTCACTCTCAGTAGAGTGCTGTGGCATCACAGCTCACAGGAACCTCAAACTATTGGGCTTAAGCAATTCTCTTGCTTCAGCCTCCCAAGCAGCTGGGACTACAGGCGTCTGCCTCAATGCCCAGTTATTTTTCTGGTTACAGTTGTTTAGCTGGCCCAGGCCGGGTTCAAACCTGCCACCTTGGTGTATGTGGCTGGCGCCGCAACCACTGTGCTATGAGCGCCAAGCCATTTTGTTTATCTTTTCAAAGAACCAACTTTTTGTTTTATTAATAATTTGGTGGGGTTTTGTTTGTTTTGTTTTGGTTTTGGTTTTGGGGGGAGGTTGTTTGTTTATTTTGGTTTCCATTTGATTTAGTTCTTCTCTGAGCTTTATTATTTCTTTATTTTGCTGGCTTTGGATTTGGTTTGCCCTTCTTTTTCTAGTTCCTTGACATGTGATATTAACTTATTAATTAGTGATCTTTGTCTTTTTGATGTAGGCACTTAAAGGTTATGGACTTTTCCCTTAGGACTGTTTTTACCGTATCCCACAGGTTTTGAAAGCTTATGTCTCCTTTGTCATTCAGTTTGAGGACTCTTGATTTTCATGTTAATTTCATCATTGACCCAAGGATCCTTCAGTAGCAGGTTGTTTAACTTCCATGATTATGTGTAGATTTGAATGTTTCGCTTGAAATTTATTTGTAGTTTTATTCCACTGTGGTCAAAGAGGATACATGGTATGATTCCATTTTTTTTTATTTGCTAAGATCCATTTTTTGTGTCCTAAGATATGATCAGTGTTGGAAAATGTCCTCATCCTGATGAAAAATATGTATATTCAGGGATTTGGGAGAAGTTTCTGCAAATGTCTTTAGGTCCATTTGTTCCAGAGTCCTATTTAAATCCATTATTTATTTATTTATTTTCTGCTTCAATAATCTGTCTAGTTCTTTCAGTGGACTATTGAAGTTCCCAGCCATAAGAATGGTACTATTTATTTCTTTGCTTAAATCTAGAGGAATTTGCATTATGAAAGTGGGAGGTCCTATGTTAGATGCATATATACTTAGGACTGTCATGCCTTCTTGCTGAATTGCACCTTTACCATTATATTATTACCTTCTTTGTCTTCCTTTACCATTGTTGATTTAAAGGCAATTTTCTCTGGTATGAGAATTGCTACATCTGCTCCCTTATGGTTTGTGTTTGCATGGAAATTTTTTCCATTCCTTCATCTTGAGTCTCTGTGAGTCCTTGTATCAAATTTGTTTCCTACAGACAGCAGATGCTTAGATTGTGCTTTTTCATCCTTTCAGCCAGTCTATATCTTTACATGGGGCATTCAGACCAATCATGTTGAGTGTTAGTATTGATTTGTGGGATGCTGTTCTGTTCATCATGTTGAATTATGACTCATTGTTTTGTTTTCTCTCTCACACTATTGTTTTATAAGACGTGTGAGCTATAACTTTTGGGTATGTATCTATTGTACCTATTGCATGTATAATGCATTTATGAGCATTTCTTGTAGGAAGATCTAGTAATGACAAATTCCTTTAGCATTTGCTTGCCTTGAAAAGTCATTATCACCTTATCATTAATGAAACTTCATTTTACAGGAAACAAAATTCTTGGCTGGCAGCTGTTCTGTTCAAGAAGATTAAAAATGGGACCCTAATTCCTTGGAGAATTGTAAGGTCTCCTCTGGGACATCTGCTGTTAATCTGAAGGATTTTCCTTTGTAAGTTAGTTGTTGCTGTCATTTTACAGCTTGTAGAATTTCCTCCCTCATCTTGAATTTGGCCAGGCTATTGACTATAGGTCTTAGAGATGTCTTATTGCTGTGAATCTTCTTAGTGTGCAATGACCATCTTGTATCTAAATGTCTGCATCCCTGGTGATACCATAGAAATTCTCCTCAATAATTCCCTCAAATAGATTGTGTGTTTTGCTTTTTCTGCTTCACTCTCCAGGACACCTATAATTTATATATTGGCTCCTTTCACACAGTTCCTTATTTCTGCAAGTGATTTTCATTCTTTTT